TCTTGGGGGATTCCATCCACAAACGCAAAGTTTATGGCTAACCGATATGGCACATCATCATTTAGCTATCGCAATTCTTTTTCTCATTGCGGGTCATATGTATAGAACTAACTTTGGAATTGGACACAGTATAAAAGATCTTTTAGAAGCACATATTCCTCCGGGAGGACGATTGGGGCGTGGGCATAAGGGTCTTTATGACACAATCAATAATTCGATTCATTTTCAATTAGGCCTTGCTCTAGCCTCCTTAGGGGTTATTACTTCCTTGGTAGCTCAACACATGTACTCTTTACCTGCTTATGCGTTCATAGCGCAAGATTTTACGACTCAAGCTGCGTTATATACCCATCACCAATACATTGCAGGATTCATCATGACAGGAGCTTTTGCTCATGGAGCTATATTTTTTATTAGAGATTACAATCCAGAGCAGAATGAGGATAACGTATTGGCAAGAATGTTAGACCATAAAGAAGCTATCATATCCCATTTAAGTTGGGCCAGCCTCTTTCTAGGGTTCCATACTTTGGGACTTTATGTTCATAATGACGTCATGCTTGCTTTTGGTACTCCCGAAAAACAAATCTTGATCGAACCCATATTTGCCCAATGGATCCAATCGGCTCATGGGAAAACTTCATATGGATTTGATGTACTTTTATCTTCGACAAATGGCCCAGCGTTTAATGCGGGTCGAAGCATATGGTTGCCTGGCTGGTTAAATGCTATTAATGAAAATAGTAATTCATTATTCTTAACAATAGGTCCTGGAGATTTCTTGGTTCATCATGCTATTGCTTTAGGTTTACATACAACTACATTGATCTTAGTAAAAGGTGCTTTAGATGCACGTGGTTCCAAGTTGATGCCAGATAAAAAGGATTTCGGGTATAGTTTTCCTTGCGACGGTCCGGGACGAGGTGGTACTTGTGATATTTCGGCTTGGGACGCATTTTATTTGGCAGTTTTCTGGATGTTAAATACTATTGGATGGGTTACTTTTTATTGGCATTGGAAACACATCACATTATGGCAGGGTAACGTTTCACAGTTTAATGAATCTTCCACTTATTTGATGGGATGGTTAAGAGATTATCTATGGTTAAACTCTTCACAACTTATCAATGGATATAACCCCTTTGGTATGAATAGTTTATCAGTCTGGGCATGGATGTTCTTATTTGGGCATCTTGTTTGGGCTACTGGATTTATGTTCTTAATTTCCTGGCGTGGTTACTGGCAGGAATTAATTGAAACTTTAGCATGGGCTCATGAACGTACACCTTTGGCAAATTTGATTCGATGGAAAGATAAACCAGTAGCTCTTTCAATTGTTCAAGCAAGATTGGTTGGATTAGCTCACTTTTCGGTAGGTTATATATTCACTTATGCGGCTTTCTTGATTGCCTCCACATCGGGCAAATTCGGTTAATTATTTATGTATTCTATCCGCAAGAATCTCTTTTTTTTAATAAAAAAATAGGTATGCACTCTTCTATTTATTTCTACATCTAGGATCCGATTTGTATCATTATCATTGATAATAAGAGGAACTCAAGCATTATGGCAAAGAAAAGTTTGATTTATAGGGAGAAGAAGAGGCAAAAATTGGAACAAAAATATCATTTGATTCGTCGATCTTCAAAAAAGGAAATAAGTCAGATTTCGTCGCTAAGTGAGAAATGGAAAATTCATGGAAAATTACAATCCCCACCGCGTAATAGTGCACCTACACGTCTTCATCGACGTTGCTTTTCGACCGGAAGACCGAGAGCTAACTATCGAGACTTTGGATTATCTGGACACATCCTTCGGGAAATGGTTCATGCATGTTTGTTGCCAGGGGCAACAAGATCAAGCTGGTAAGGATTTAAGTATCCTTTAATTTTTTGATTTTTTCTATGATCGACGAGGCCCCTTTACCATTCTGTCTAAATAGGCTATTCTATTTGTACAGATATGGAATAGGGGCGCATTTAATTCTTCTTTGTTTATTAGAGTTTAGTCCAAGTTATTTTGTTTCATCGCGGGGTAGAGCAGTTTGGTAGCTCGCAAGGCTCATAACCTTGAGGTCACGGGTTCAAATCCTGTCTCCGCAACATTTTTTTTCAACAAATGTAAGTTTGATTCTATTAACTAGTCATTAATTAATACTTGTCTTTTGGTACGCGAGGAAAAAATTACTCTATTTTCCGGTCAACTATACCGAATCCTTTATCTTTTTGAATCTATTTATATTTGGGCGGATAGCGGGAATCGAACCCGCGTCTTCTCCTTGGCAAAGAGAAATTTTACCATTCGACTATATCCGCATTTTTCTGCCTTCTTGATAAGAAATTTATGGATAATATTTGTTCAAAGCTATATGAGATAGACTCTTTGGTTTGGGGTTCTTTCATAAAATTCTACCACCAAACCAATTGAATTACCAATTCTATTACATATATATAAATATATATTAATAATATAGATATTAATAATATAGTTATAAATAATCTATTTATTCTATATATTGAAATATTGAATTTCATCTTCAAGAATATATTATTCTCTATTTCCCTAAAATATTATATTCTATATTGATATCAGATATCAATTTTTGATTAGTTTTTTTTTAGTTATTTATTACTATTTCATATTTAGTAAATTGATATTTATTAATATTTTATTCATATTTCACTCAAGTTCCGGAAGTTTGACCCCCCCCTCTAATTTTTTTGTTTTCTTTATTTGCATTTTATGGATTTATACTTATATTGAATTTTAATGTGTAATTCATGGAATGGGAGGGGTCATCTCATTTTTGGATCTGCAACGAATTAATTCAAGAGATAAGAGAATTAAGGATACCCACCAAGAAGACTAATCCAATCCATAAAGATGTACCAGAAAATACAACATTTTTGTTACTCGACCAACCATCAGGAGACGCAAATACAACGGGTACACTAATCAGTAAGATTGATGAAGTAATAATTAATGCAAAAACAGCCAATTGGAAAGCAATAGTCATGTTTTTAATCCTCCAAGCTATTAACAAAATACACCATTTAATCCTCTTACCCACTAAAAAATTTTAATAAATAAAGGGATTTTATCATGAATCCGTTGATTCGAGATGACTTATTTCCAACTTCTTTTTACCTATCGGACATTAAGTTAAAGGTTCTTTTTGACTTCACAAATGGGTATACTGGATCATGGTATTTATATAGACAGATTTATAGACCTATAAAGTAAAGAAAGTCACACCCTATATCTTTCTCTACATAGTGATCATATTAACTCATAGGGCTATGTTCTATTTGGCAAAAAAAAAATAAAATAGAAATTATCTTTCGGAGAGATGGCCGAGTGGTTGATGGCTCCGGTCTTGAAAACCGGTATAGTTCATAAAAAATAACTATCGAGGGTTCGAATCCCTCTCTCTCCTTTTGTTGGATTAATATTTTTTTCTTTATTGGCTTTTTTACTTCTTAGGATCATAAAAAAAGGAGAATGGCTCGGCTGGATAGTATAGCCGAGCCAGAAAAAATTAGATTGAATTGAAAGAAACAAAGAAGACTTTTTAATATGAATCGATTTTTACTTTCCTATTTGAACTACCACTTTAGTTAAGAGGAGTCATAGAAAGAACAGGTTCAAAATCACGATCAATTCCTTTTTCAAATCCTGCTGCCGCTGCCCGAGCCCTTCCCGCGTGCCATAAATGACCCACAAATAGGAAGAATCCTAGAACAAAATGAGAGGTAGATAACCAACTTCTCGGAGAGACATAATTAACTGCATTGATCTCAGTAGCTACGCCCCCTACAGAATTTAAGGAACCTAAGGGAGCATGAGTCATATATTCTGCAGAACGTCGTTCTTGCCAAGGTTGTATGTCTTTTTTCAACCTACTCAAGTCCAAACCGTTAGGACCCCTTAAAGGTTCTAACCAGGGAGCACGCAGATCCCAAAAGCGCATTGTTTCTCCTCCAAAAATAACTTCTCCAGTCGGGGAACGCATTAAGTATTTACCTAAACCTGTAGGTCCTTGAGCAGACCCCACGTTAGCTCCAAGACGTTGGTCTCTAACTAGAAAAGTAAATGCTTGAGCTTGAGAAGCTTCTGGCCCCGTAGGTCCGTAAAACTCACTAGGGTAAGCGGTATTATTAAACCAGACAAAACAACAAGCAATGAAACCACAAACAGATAAAGCAGCTAAACTATAAGACAAGTAAGCCTCCCCAGACCATACAAGTGCGCGGCGAGCCCATGCAAAAGGTTTGGTTAAGATATGCCAGATTCCACCAAATATACAAATGGAACCTAACCATACATGCCCTCCAATTATATCTTCCAAATCGTCCACACTAACAATCCACCCTTCTCCCCCAAAGGGAGATTTTAGTAAATAACCAAATATAACACTTGGGCTAAGAGTCAAGTTTGTAATTTTTCTTACATCCCCCCCTCCCGGAGCCCAGGTATCATATACGCCCCCAAAATAGAGAGCCTTGAATACTAGAAGAAAAGCACCTACACCTAACAAAATTAAGTGAATACCCAAAATGGTGGTCATTTTATTTCTATCTTTCCATACATAACCGAAAAAAGGAAAAGATTCTTCAAGAGTTTCGGGTCCAAGAAGTGCATGATAAATACCGCCAAAGCCCAAAACTGCAGAAGAAATTAAGTGAAGTACTCCAGATACAAAGTACGGAAAGGTGTCTATAACTTCTCCCCCAGGACCTACCCCCCAGCCTAAAGTAGCTAGGTGGGGAAGTAAAATTAACCCTTGTTCATACATGGGCTTTTCAGGTACAAAATGAGCCACTTCAAATAAGTTCATTGCTCCGGCCCAGAATACGATTAATCCGGCATGGGCTACATGAGCTCCCAATAGTTTACCAGATAAATTGATAAGTCGGGCATTCCCGGCCCACCAAGCGAAACCGGTGGTTTCTTGGTCACGACCAGCTAAAGCTAAAGTTCCATTAAAGAGCGTTTCCACG